ACCGCATGTCACTGGTTTCAAAAGCCTACCGATTATTCGCGAGTGTTCGGCCTCCTATATATATATATATATATATATATATATATATATATATATACGTATATTTCTCGAAAGTGTGAGAAACTGTTCCTAAATATGTAACAGATCAGTATGTACAGCAATGTTCATGCTCTTGCATGGGTGCATGTTAGCGCCTTTCACATATTTTTGGACCATCCTGGAATACTTCATCAGGTGAGTTGTCAGATGTGCACATGGATGCTATCACATTTAAATCAAAAAATCCACCTATTTTGGTGTAGAATGAAGTGGGGTTTTCACATGTCCTGATTGTGCTTGGTACGCTCTTCCACAAGACGGTGAATCTGATGAGGAAAAACTTGGACCACATTGATTTTCTAGCTCTTGGTTTCTCTAGCGGAAATTTTTTAAGGAGTCTGTGATGGTTATTGTGTTGTATCTGTGTTGTGTAGGTAACAGTACGTTTTCTGGTGCAACAAATTGTGGAGGAGCATCAAGTTTTGCTTTAGACGTCGCAGCCAGAGAGGCACGAAGTGAGGCTGTTTCCAATGTTTGCGATAGGTTAGAGTGGATGTGCTGTTGAACAAACGTTTGGCGAATGAGCTCTGTAAATTTTATATAGATTTCTTATCTAACTTCCTCACGCTACCATAGGTGAAGTTGCACTATTCGAGAATTGGACGAGTGAGAGTCTTAAATAATTTCCATCTGGCAGGGACTGTATAGATTTCATCATTCTTTAAGAGAGTGAAGATCTTGAATTAAAAATAATGTGCTCTGAAGCGCATCACTCCCTAGTTTATAAGCAATCTTGATATCATCTGCAACTAGAAAGAGTTGGCCATTTTTGCTGCAGCTGCCAATATCATTGATGTAGAGGATAAGAAGCAGAGGGTCGTGTACCGTTCCTTGGATGACGCCGCTTGTCATTGAACGGGAAGAATGGTGATCACCTGAAGTGACTATTTGCGACTGATTGCCAAGGTAGGAGGAAAGCCAACTTAAAAGCGGATTCTGGATTCCAGAGGATTCAACTTTCTTCAACTACCGTTTGTGTGATACGCGGTGGAATGCTTTTTCTAGGTCCAAAAACAAATTTATTACTGCACAGCCGGAGTCTATGGATTCTGGAGTGTAGTTAAAGTAGTGTAGCTAGAAGGTCGTGCAGGAACGTCTATCAAGGAAACCATGTTGAGTTGTGTTAAATAGGTTCATGTAAGTAAGGAACTCAATCGACGTTTTATTGACTGCTCTTTCAAACTGTATGGTGATGGTGGGAATATGATGAGTCGGTCGGTAATTGGTAGCATTTTGCTTGGGACCACTTTT